GAGGAGGGACAGAGAAAGATTGACTTGAGAGACACATCAATTGGTGAATTGCTGCCTTCTACATGCAGGATGACTAGGTTGGGGATTGAGCTTCCAACCAAGGTACATGCCTCTGACCAGAACAGAACCCAGGAGCCCTTCAGTCTGAGGACTGATGCTCCATCCACTGAGCCAAATCAGTTAGAGCCCACACATCTCTTAAAAAAGAGAATGTGCTTAGGAAGAGGAGCCCTCCCTCTGGGCCTTGTCTTCATGAAGCCTGGTAGAAATTAACACTGTACACAGAAACAGACCTCAGTTTAAATTAGTTTCCTTCCAATATAAACTGACCAGAATCAGGTTACGGGCTAAGCTGTGTCACTGCCATGCTCAGCCGCCCTGGACTGCCTCAGGGGCTGGGAGAGATCTGAGTGCAGCCTGGTGTCAGCGAGCAAAACAAGGATGTCACCGAGCCTGAGGGATGGGAGCTGAAACCCGGCTCTGCCTGCTGGCACGTGACCACGGAGGCCCTGAGGTGACGCAGAGCTGAGTGTCCTCTCAGGGCAGGTGCCGGGTGGCAGGGCAGGCAGAGCCCCTGGTGGCGGCCATGGAAGTGCCTTTCAGAGCTCCAGGAGAGCCTGTGACGGAGCAGAGCTGACCGGTGGTCCCAGCGGCCGCCTCTCAGAATGCCACCATGTCGCACAGAGGCCCATGCTTCTCCAGGCTGCCCCATCAATGCCCGACACGGGCCTCCTTGGTGAGGAAACCCTGCTTGGCCTCCTCAGCACCTGTGTGCTGTGGTCTGAGAGGTTCCCACTCTGTCCGTCCTTCCTGCCCTCTCGCCGGCATCCTGGCCGGAAGCCCCCTGCCTGCTCCTGCTCCCTCCATCCTGCACTGATGTCCCCAGGGCCTTGGCCTCTGCTTCATGGAAGACCCAAAGCAATGCGCCTGCTCCAGTGCAGGTTCCCCGAGGGCAGGGGCAGGCCCTGCTGTGCTCCTGGAACAGGGCACAGACCAGGGGCCTCATAAATGCTTAGGGTAGACTCGGAGGGCTGAGCAGAATCCTCGAGATGGTCCAAGCCATTCTCATGTCCAAACGACATGCCTTCTAGGTGGTCCTAAGTGGACTCCGAGCCACTGAATGAAAACCGGCAACGAGGGAAACCTGCCCCCCCTAAGCAGCCCACCCCGCTGAGGAGTGGTCTCAGCTGTGAGGCGCCCCTCCTGTTCTGGGACAGTCCACGCCCTGCCCTCCCGTGTTACAACGGTGTCTGGACAGCACATGACAGTCCAGTGAATGACTGAAGGGGCATCTTGGTTCTTCCATCCATTATTCCCATGACATAGCCCCCTTGCTGCCTGTCACTCTCCTCTAGTGACCTCTGACCTGTTACATTTTCTCTGAGTGTCTGGGTCCTACGACTGGATAGGACCATGGCATCTCAGTCTGACAAACACAGATGCCAGTGAGTCAAACACATGTAGTGACACTGAGCCGAGTGTGACAGCCACTCTCCTCAGAGCTCACGGCCACTCAGGAAAGGGGACAGAGGGTTACATCTTCCAGGGCCTGGAGGGTGGGGAGCCGGGGAGCCTCTCTGCAGGCAATGCTGTGAGTGGTCCTCCCTCCCCCGATGAAGAGCTTTCAGCCCAGAGAATCAGGAAGGGGATGTGGGGGGTTGGGGAGGGCAGAGGCAGGGCCAGGTGCCGCGCAGAGTGCACACCTCACACACTTTAGGGGTGCTTGGATGGAGATATAAAGAAAGTGCTCGGCCCTAGTAGGTGCTCAAACACCAACAGTGATTTTTCTTATGTCATTATCGCCATGGGTGCCTTCTGCTGCTGCTGTTTTAACACCAGGCTCAAACTGAACTCGTGGTTAACCAAAAGCCCTGCTGCTCCCGCCTCCATGTAGACGGTGCTTGTCTACCTGCTTATTTATTCCCGGCGACAAAAGCTGAGGGCCAGGAAAGAGCCGCTTACTCTGCCGCAGGGCTGTCTCACTACCACCCGCTTGGGGTTCTGTTTTGTTTTAATAAAATCCTCGCGGTACCCAAAGGCTTCAGAAACTCCATCTGTCTAAACCACGGATCGTTTGAGGAAAGCACGTTTGACAGACAAGCATTTTCTTTTTAAGTATATTGTTTTTGAATGATTGCACTCACACACACAATTCCTTTGCTAAATTCAGAAAGTCTGTCCCTACACCCTCCCCACGGGCCCCGCACACTCTGTGCCTGTGTAGATGCGGACTCCGTGCTCCCCATCCTGTCTGGCTCTGAGGAACCACGTGGGGCTGGAGAAAAGCTACAGCCGATTCTCACAGGGCTGCTTTTAGATGATCAAATCACCAGCTCATGAGTGGGAATCACTGGTGACAATGCAGTTGGGTTTGAGCTACCAGGTCGATGGACCCTCCCTCCGGCCCCTGGGGTCTAACACTGCTCACTCAGCCTAACCCTCGGGAAAGCAGGTTCCTGCCCCACCAGCTGCTGCTCTCTTGACCCACTCCCTCCTGACCAGGAATGAATTTCTGAATTTGTCCCAGGCTGGCAGACACTGGCCCAGCCACACTCTGCTTGTGTACAGGCGCCTGGACTCCCCACCTGCGAATTCCTGGCAGGGCTTTTCCAGGCTTTCCTACGGAAACCTGCAGCACAGTGTAAGTTCACAAGCCAGGGCAGAGGGTGGAAAGCCAGAAGGCAAAAGAAAGGAACAGGCTGGTCACCAGAGGCTTGGGGGTGGAGAGCACCCGCCCACGGTTGAGCCGGAAAGTTCAGCACCGAGGCCTGCGCTTGCTTCTGCCTCTCAGCAGGGGACCCGCCAGTCTGTCCTGCTTCTCCGCGTCTGCCCAACTGGATTGTGAGCTTCCCCAAAGCGGGGCTCGCTTTCCCTTCCTGCACCCAGCCCTGCATGTTGTAGACACAACTGCTCACTGAAGAAATGATTGTGAAGAAGAGCATTTATGATGGTGTGCCTTTCAACCCCTCTCTTTATTCTCAGAGAGCAGCTGCCGAACAAGAGCACCTGCTATAGATTAGCATCAGGTTCTCTGTCTCGCTGCGGCCTGGGATCTGTCAGGAAATGCAGCCCCGAGGACAAGCCTACTGCGCAGAGCGGGGAGGCTGCTGCCTCTGACTGTGCGTCTCGCTGGCCAGTTCCAGGGAACACGGGAATGTGGGCGGCGGCTCAGCCCCTCTTGGAGGCTCAGCGGAGAAGCCACATTCTTTGCTCCTGTCTTTTCTGGACAGACAGACTCAGGGTTTCCCTGTCTCTCCCCAGCGCTGGCAGTGGCCCTGCTTGGCCCGATGCCCTGACTTGGCGGCTCCCTTCAGAAGGAACAACCTATCGCTCTGTCCATCATGTCTCCCCAGCAGGACTGGGAACCCGGTTTGCCTGGGACGGAGGGACTTTCAGGGAGGTAGGACATTCAGCGTAAACCCAGGATAGTGCCAGCAAACCAGGTGCTGTCATCCTGCCGGGAACTCCTGCTCTCTCTCCTCAGTAACAGCCACAAGGCTCAGTACCTAGTGAATACCACTGATGGGAGCTGGCTGCTGGGCCTGGCACCTACTCAACCCCGCTTTCCCTTTCTCTCCCGCAGGCTGCCCACTGGCACCCGGTCTCTGTCCCTAATATCCTCAGGGCTCCTAACAGATCCTACTCGATGGCCCCTTTGCTCTAACTCACACTGCTCCCTCTGCCTGGGGTGCTTTCCCAGCTCAGGCTGCCAGGAATTCTTACGTATCCTAAAGTCACCTCATTCAGAAAGGCCTCCTTGAAGACACAGGGCCAGCAAGGGCACGTCCCCGAGACTGGCTCCCCTGCAGAGTGATCAGGGCTCAGGCCACAGTTCCTTTCCCCGTTTACATATGGATTTCTAAAACAACAGATTCTTTGCTGGTTCCAGAACCTCATCCTTGCTCTCCTGTGACGCTACCCACACCCTATCTGGTGCAGATCAGGGGGAGAAGGGCAGTCTGTCCACACAGCCCAGCTGGCAGCCCGGTGGTAAGGCCTGGACTGACAGCAAAAGCATCCTCTGGACATCTGGGCCAATTACACTGACTTCCTGGTGTTACTCAAGAAGTTAAAGATGCTTCCTCTGCCTGACATGCGTTTTTCTTCCTACATCCACAGATTTGCATGTCAGCGTTGCTCAAAGGCCAGGTCATGTCTCTGCCTTCAGAGAACATGTGTTCATTCATTCCCGCTCACTGCTAACCACCCAGAGGAAGGCCCTCAGCTGGGCCCTGGGAAGGGCATGGCATGTCTCTGCCCTTAAGGAAACCCCATCTAGCAGGAAAACCAGGCAGCTACAAAATGGCACAGGACAGTGCTGTTGTGTTTTTCTATATGAGGGTGCCCAGTACCCAGCTGGTGCTATCCGTGCAAAGGCCCTGTGAGCCTCTGGTTACTCTCCAGCTTTCATGGGGGCCAGTTAGAGCTCATCGTCTTCTCCAGACCATGACCCCCTTGAGGGCAGTCAGGTCTGACCGCCAGGTCCCCCTCCACACCCTCTGGGGTGGCAGGTAGGCTCTCATTAACAGCCATGGGCTCAGTAGCTGCCAAGGGAATAAGCGAGGGAGGGAGCAGTGGGAGGCCAGGGGGAAGTGGCTATAAATAAATGTTCCCAAAGCCAAGCAGAAGCAGAGCCAGTCTGTGAAATCCTGACTTGTTTACTTTCAACCTACAAGCCAGGAGAGTGAACGTGAAAAGCAGCTGAGATTCCGAGCAGCCACACCAAGAACGCAGGCTCTGGCTATGGTCCGGAGCCCCAGGATGGCGCGCTTGCCCTCACTGCCAGGATCGCAGCCAGGACACACCTGCCAGTTCAGCGGCCCCTGCAGGTCAAAGCCCACATTTCATGTGACGCTCAAAACAATGGTTAGAAGGGAGTGATCACCTTTACCCACTTCACACTAAGTGACTTATCCAGAGTACCCAAGGCAGGGACCCCACCTTCTTCCTCCTTTCTCTGGAGGCCTCTCCTTCAGGCTTCTCAGGCATCGCTCCCTCAGTGGGTCCGTGAACAGGCTGATCCTCTAACCACTGAGCAACGCTAGCCAAACTGAGCTTGCTTTGAGTTTGCCTAGTTTTGCCCAGTATTGTATTTCTCAGCCTTCAGGGATTCCTTGGGGGTGGGAGGGACAAAATGCACCTTCAATCTGGCCATCCCCATTCTTCCTCTCTCTTCTTGCATTAGTTCACAAAATAAACCAAGACAATACCCCATTTACTGAGTACCAACCATGTACCAAATATATTCCAAGGCCCAGTACTCAGACAAAACTCAACCTTCTCTTGAATACAAGACGTGGCCTCTGTTAATGGGGGAGGGGTGGGAGAGGCCCACAATGTACAGGTGTGTGCCAAGTGCTGTGGGTACAAGAAGGGCATGCTTCGTCCTGCCAGGGGAACGGACCATTTCAGGCAGAGCGGACAGCGGCAGGAAAGGCTCGGAGAGGAGGAGCAGCACCCTCAGCCATCGATCACCTGGGGCTGTAGCTTCTCCAGGCTCACGGGGGAATGAGGAGACCTACACAGGCATGTCCTCACCAGGTCCCGCCAGGGACTGAGAAGCAGAGGTTGGAGGCCCAGCCTCGTCAGAGCGGAATATCTGCAAGTACTTCTTTCGGATGGAGGAAACAGGCCTGGAGAGGGAAGTTTCTCAATGTCCTGCGGCTAATGCGTGGAGGGGCCGGGACTAGGTTATAGGGCCTACTTTCTGCTGTTCAACAGGGCTTCCTGCTTCACTTAGTAAAACATTTAAAAAATATATATATATTTTATTGATTTTTCACAGAGAGGAAGGGAGAGGGATAGAGAGCTAGAAACATCGATGAGAGAGAATCATCGATCAGCTGCTTCCTGCACACCCCCTACCGGGGATGTACCCGCAACCGGTTTTGGCAGTAAAACATTTTTACGACACCTAACTTTTTATGTCATTTTTCCCCATTTGAAAGTAAGTTGCAGATATACTGCAATCCTAAGGTGTTTGGCCTACATCATTTAAAATGATGACATTCTAGGCCTAACCTGCTCAGTGGATAGAGCATCAGCCTGAGGACTAAAAGGTCCCAGGTTCGATTCCGGTCAAGGACATGTACCTTGGCTGCGGGCACATCCCCAGTTGGAGGTGTGCAGGAGGCAGCTGATCGATGTTTCTCTCTCATTGATGTTTCTAACTCTCTATCCCTCTCCCTTCCTCTCTAAAAAAACCAATAGAAAATAAAATAACATTCTAATAGGTAGCTTAAATGCCATTATTGTACGTAAGAAAATTAATAATTTACCAAATTATTCCTAAAATGTTTTAATTTTTAGGGATCCAGCATCCACTTCACGTGTTACATTTGGGTTGTCAATTTACCCTCTTTTTAAAGCTGGAAAGTTGGACCATGTTTTTGTTTGTCATTGATACTGATTTCTGTGTGTGCAGAGTTTAGGCCATTTGTCTTGTAGGCTGTCCCCATTCTGGGCTGTTTCCCCTGATAAAATTCAGAGCAAACAGCAAGAATGGGACACAGGTGACAGTGGGGACCTATCGTGTCACATCCCACCGGGCACCCCCTAATGCCAGCTGCCTTTTCTCTGAGAGGCAAGGTGGGTGCAGGGGGCGATGGCCAGGTCTCTGCAGCGGAAAGATCATTTCCTCTGGGCAACCGGGGAGGCACCTGCAGGGTGACTTTTTCCGTAACGAGGACAAGCCTGAGACAGATTTAATGTGTTCCCAGGTTCGTTCTGAAATAGTTCACGCCTGTGAGGAGGTTCCCCGATGCCACCACCCAGACGGAATATGCTGCCTCCTAGGCGGTGAGTTCGGGGGAGCCCTGCATCCTCTCCCAGTCCCAGCCCGCTCCATGCCTCCGTCATGCCTCTCGAAACTTTGTCTCAGGACCGCTTTACACAGATAAAAATTACTGCATTTGTCAAAAAGCTGCTGTTTGTGCCAGGTACGTCTGTCCATATGTACCATATTTAAAATGAAAACTGAGGACTTTTAAAGCACAAGCACACATTGCATTACTTGCCACAGTGATAATGTCAACACGTGTCATGCGGCCTCTGGGAAATTCCACTGTTCACGCATGACACAAGAGTGAAAAAGGCAAATAATGTCTCCATATTGTTATAAATACAGTTTTGAGTCATACACCACTGAAAGGCAGGCCTCCTGACCACATTTTGAAAACAGCAAGTTAGACCTGCATATATTAACGTGAAGAAATTTGAATGGTGACGTTCAAGCCCCGTTTCTGTGAGCACGAGAATTAAAGAGAGGCTCTTGGTAAATAAAGAATGAGTTCAGTGTTAAACCTGATGTCTTTTCTTCATCCAGATTGGGTGGGACCAGCAGACTGCACGTCACGTGCCTCAAGATGTTCGCCTTTTCTCCACTGCGGCCCCGTCCCAGATGCTCGGACAGCTGGTCTCGCCGCTCTGGGAAAACATCCACCAACTGTTGGGAGAGGCTGAGCCTGTCTCACACCCACACTTTCCTTCAGGGCTCCCAGCACAGCCCTTTCCTTGGGGAGCCATCTGGCAGCCATGTGGACATTAGGGCTACCACTACTAGCACACATTCCAACATGTCCCAGTGTCCCCAGACACTTGTGGAAGTGGAACGAGTTTCAACACAGCCTTGGGACAGCTGTAAAGAGCTGGCGGGGAAAAGGCCTGGGGCAGAATGCTCAACTCTGAGGGTGAATTAACAGCCCAGCTAATATCCCTGCCCATCAGCATGACCACTCGGCTCAGTTCAATGAACACCTGGGAGGGCACAGCATTACCTAGGCCCAGCGATGGTCAGAAATGAGTAACCCTGTCTCCTGCCCGGAAGAGTCCCGGCAGGGAGGGGAGATGGTGAATGAAGGGATGATGGGCAGAGAAACGCACGGGAGCTACAGGACAGAGAATGTCTCTCTGTCTCATGGCATCCCCCGTGTGAGATCAGAGACTGCAAAGGGTAACAGAGACCAGGAGGCCTGGATTCTAACACATACTCTGTAAAGTGGGGCCAGTTCCTTCAGAGGCTATAGTGAAGTCTGGCTCCTGAAAACACAAGGGACCTGGCTTCACAGCCCAGCTCTGCCAGGGATACCAGTGGGACCTGGGATGAGTAATCTCACTTTGCTGACCTGGTTTTCTTGTCTATAAGCGGGAATGACAGAGGAACACTTGGAGGATGAGGATTAAATACAGCGTATGCAACGTAATTAGCATAATGCTTGGCATGTAACCCAAACGGGGATGGCTGCTGTAATTTTCTCTTTTATGGGTTCAATGACCTAAGAGAAGCCACTGGACGAACCAGTTTCCAGCCACCTGGGCTCAGGACACCTGAGGAACATGAACACCTCACAAGAATCACCGAGGTCCCTGGTTGGCAAACTGTGGCTCTCGAGCTACATGTGGCTCTTTGGCCCCTTGAGTGTGACTCTTCCACAAAATACCATGGCCTGGGAGAGTCTATTTTGAAGAAGTGGCATTAGAAGAAGTTTAAAAAATTTGGCTCTCAGAAGAAATTTCAATCATTGTACTATTGATATTTGGCTCTGTTGACTAATGAGTTTGCCTAGGTCCTTTATGCTAATGCTGCTGGCGGAAAGCACACAGCATTCTCTGGAAATGAAGACAGAGAAGCTCCAAGAAGCTCCCAAATGAACTGGCTACACTTCCAGGGGAAGAGTAATGGGACAGCATAGCCTCTGAGACCGCGGGCCTCAATGTCCCCATCTGTGTATCTCACGGCTGGACCAGCCAGGTACTATTACACTCTTAATTTATCACCAGGAGCAATGGAACTTTTTTCCTCTGAAAGAAATATTAAGGAATACTTAAAAAGATGAGAGTTAATTTGGCATAGGTGGAGGGTAAGGCCTCTAACCTAGATGATTTAGTGCAGACAAATGGTCTCGGGTCTCCTAGGTCCTTTTAAGGTGGAAACTTCTTGGATTCCTACAATTTAAAAAGACTTTAAAAACATCGCATGGCTCCCTCCCCACTCACTTCTGAGACCATTCCCTGCAGTCAGCAGCTGACATTAAAAAAAATTTTTTTTTTTTAAAGTTAATTTCAGAGAGGAAGAGAGAGAGAAACTTCAATGATCAGAGAGAAACATTGATTGGCTGCTTCCTGCATGCCCCCAACTAGGGATGGAGCCTGCAACTCAGGCAGGTGCCCTTGACCAGAATCAAACCTGCCCTTCAGTCCGCAGGGCAGCGCTCTATCCACTGAGCCAAACAAGCTAGGGCCAGCAGCTGACATTTATAACTGAAAGAGACTTGGTTCCTCCAGACTCTGGAAGTAAGCATGCCCCTGAAGTAGGAAGTTTTCTGTTCTCCACAGCTGCACCCACAAATTCTTTAACCCTCAAGGCAATTACTAAAATGATAGAAAAGTGGCTGGAAAGGAGCAGGAGTAAAGCGAACCATGAAAACCCAGCATGTGTGCCCGGTCCCGTTAGATCCTGGGCTCTGCCCCTCGGAGCTTCATCGGGCAAGTTCTACGCACTGTGATGTCAGTTTTTTGTTTTTTTAAAATATATTTTTACTGATTTTTCAGAGAGGAAAAAGAGGGATGGAGAGCCAGAAACATTGATGAGAGAGATACATCGACCAGCTGCCTCCTGCACATCCCCCACTGGGGATGTGCCCGCAACCAAGGTACAGGTCCTTGACCGGAATCGAACCTGGGACCTTTCAGTCTGCAGACGACGCTCTATCCACTGAGCCAATCCGGTTTCGGCTGGGATGTCAGTTTTAGCAACTCACGCAGCATGCTTCCAGAGAACCTGTGTGTCCTGGAAAACTCCAGTCCTTCCTCAAGGGCCACATGACTGTGAGCAAGTGCCAGGCTGGCTGCCTCGCCCACAAAGTCAGTGATAGCACCTTCCTCTGCCCAACATGGTGAAATGAACCAAATAAGAAAATTGGGCCCTGGCTGATAGCTCAGTTGATTAGAGCATCAACCTACTATGCCAAGGTTGCGGGTTCGATTCCCAGTCAGGGCACATTAT